TTTTAGTATTGGTTGAGGTGGAGAGCAGTTCACAAAATCTCTTTGAAACAAAGTTCAGCCTTTACGGAAGGAGAGACTTCTGCCCCACCCCATACACATACCTGCACCCCCAGGTAGGACAAGGCTGCCAAGGTAAGCAGCTGCAGGGAGCAAAGCATGGATTGGGGGGTCTGAAGGGAAGGCCCCCTTAGAAAAAAACCTGGGGAAGAACCAGCTAGCTGTCTATAGCCTGCAAACCTCTCCCAGAGCACTAAAAAGTGAGCCAGAGTCCAGGGGCTGAGGATATCTTCCCTTCCCCACTCCTGGTTCCTCTTGGGTGTGTCAAAAGATCTAAAAAGGATAGGTACGCTGGTGGGATTCCCTAGCACAGTCTGTTCTGAGGGAAGACAGGCAGTGTGAAATCAGTTTCCCCATCTCTGACTTTGACTCTAGGACTTTAGAGAACTGTTTCCTGAGACTCCACCTTGCCCATTCCTTCTCCAGCCCTGTTACTCATTCTAGCATGAGGCTGGGCTCCCTTTACCAGATCAGCCTTTGCCCTCAGACAGGAAAACGATGGTGGAGTTAGCCTCGGCCTCTTCCTCAAAACTTGTCTCTTGGGGGTCACCAGAATTCCCCTGGTTGTACCTCCCTGGCAATAACATCCAAGGGGGTCATGCTGCCTGAACCCAGCCTGTTGGCCTAGAGATCATGTGGTATTTAAGAATTAGGGCCCCTAAAACAGAGTCCAAGATGAAACCTCTCTAAAGTAAAATCTATTGCTGTTAAGACTCAGGTTAGGACACAGACATTTTGATCTGCACTAGTTCTGGGGTACCCTGAGTGTGTCACTCATTTCATCCCCCAAGAGAGCAATGATCAAGAAATTTCAGTTTCTCTTCAGAGCCTCAGGCCTTATAGTGCAGGGATCTCAGTTCCTCAGGGATTTGTCTCAGTCTCTGACTTCACATGTTTCTTTTCCTTGCCAAGGCCATTCATTTCCCTTCCTTTCTCCCCCTTTCTTGACCGTTATTTGCTTCTCTCATCATCATTTTCTCCTTATCAGCTGGCTCCTTCCCAGCTTTCTATAAATGTATTCAGATCTTATCCCTCCTTTAAAAAACTCTACTTGACTCTGAAGTACCTTCTTAAGGCAAAGGTTCTTAACATGGCATATATAGATAGATTTCAGGGGGTCCGTGAAATTGGGTAGGGGAAAAAATTAAATCTTTATTTTCAATTATATTTGGTTTCCTTTGTAACCTTAGATATTTTATTTTATGCATTTAAACACATTATTCTGCTAATGGGTCCAAAAGCTTCACCAGACTGCCAGAGGTGTCCATGACACAAAAAAAAGTTAAGAACTTTTGCCTTGAACCTTTCTCCTCTATAGGCAGTGAGATGGCACAGTGGACAGAATGTTGGACCTGAAATTAGGAAGTCCTGAGTTCAAATCAGACCTCAGATACTTATTGGCTGTGTGACCTTGAGCCCCTGCCTTCCTCCGTTTTCTCTTCTATCAAATGGGGACAATAAGAGCACTTACCTCCAAGATTGCTGTGAGGATCAGGTGAGATAGTAATCCTAAAGCACTTAGCCCAGTGCCTGAACATAATAAGAGCTACATAAATGCTAGCTACTCCTCAATACCTTGCAGTGCCATGAAAACTGAAGGAGCAGAGAACACACAGAAGGTTGGGGGGAGGGGTGACTGCAGAGTGGTCAAGAAGGATGAGAACTGAAAAAGTCATCAGAGTCAGCAGATTAAATGACTGTTGGTAACCTTAAAGAGGGAAGTTTCAGTTTAGAATGAGGACAATGGGGGTGGAGCCAAGATGGTGGAGTAAAAGCAGCGATTTGCTTAAGCTGTCCCTCAAACCCCTCCAAATATCTATAAAAAATGGCTCTAAAGCAGCAGAACCCACAAAAAGACAGAGTGAAACAAATTTCCAGCCCAAGACAGCCTGAATGGTTGATCAGAAAGTTATATTGCGCTGGGCTGGGAGAGGAGCGCAGTTTGGTGTGGGCGCACAGGTCGCAGCAACCCTGGAGCAGGCCTCAGAGGACTGAATCACGGGTAGCTGTGGCGATTTCCAGACTTCTCAACCCATCAACGCCAAAGACAACTTAGAAGGTCAGTGGGAAAAGTCTGTGACTGTGGTGAGAGAAGGAGCTAGGTCTCAGCCACAAGTCCAGAGCGTGCCCTCAGGGCAGCAGCTGCCTCCTGAGCTCCTGGCCCACAAACAGAGGCTGAATCAAGTGACTGATCAGAGGGGGATTGCAGGGATCTCTCTGCTGGTGCAGGATTCTCTTGCTTTGCCCATGCTTGGATCTGGGTCACAGTTCTAGGTAGTGGTCCTAGGGCAAGGAGGAGCGCTGGTGTGGTGGAGCTTGTAGTGGCTATGGAGAGGAAACCCTCCTCACAGTTCCAAAACAGAAAAGAGTGCTCATAGACCAGAGTACAGGCCATAAAAGGAGTAAACACCTCGCCCTTGATCATAGCACCTTGGAAGAACTGAAAATTTACAGGTCCCTAGAAGTATTTCTGAACACAGCTGCACAAAACCCCTGAAGCTTGGGACTGTACATTCTCCACACTGGAAACAGACTCCTACCTTAACAAAGAGTTTATAACTCAAGTAATTGGCTGGATTCATGAGCAAGCAGCACAAAAAGAGTCAGACTATATTATCTTACTTTGATGACAAGAAGATCAAAATATACAACCAGAAGAAGACAATGAAACCAAAGCTCCTACATCCAAAGCCTCCAAGAAAAATATGAATTGGTCCCAGGCCATAGAAGAGCTCAAAATGGATTTTGAGAAACAAGTAAGAGAAGTAGAGGAAAAACTGAGAGTGATGCTAAAGGAGACCCAAAAAAATACTGAAGAAAATAACACCTTAAAAAATAGCCTAACCCAAATGGCAAAAGAGGTCCAAAAAGCCAATGAGGAGAAGAATGCCCTTAAAAGCAAACTTAGCCAAATGGAAAAGGAAGTCCAAAAGCTTACTGAAGAAAATACTTCCCTAAAAATTAGAATGGAGAAATTGGAAGAGAGGGACCATTTGAGAAATCAAGGCACTATAACACTAATCAAAAGGAAAGAATGTGAAATATCTCACTGGAAAAACAACTGACCTGGAAAATAGATCCAGGAGAGAGAACTTAAAAATTATTGGACTATCTGAAAGCCATGATCAAAAAAAGAGCCCAGACATCATCTTTCAAGAAATTATCAAGGAAAACTGCCCTGATATTTTAGAACCAGAGGGCAAAACAGAAATTGAAAGAGTCTACCCATCACCTCCTGAAAGAGATCCCCAAAGGAAAACTCCTAGGAATGTTGTAACCAAATTCCAGAATTCCCAGGTCCAGGAGAAGATATTGCAAGCAGCCAGAAGGAAACAATTCAAGTATTGTGGAAACACAATCAGGATAACACCAGATTTAGCAGCTTCTACATTAAGGGTCCGGAGGGCATGGAGTATGGTATTCCGGATGGCAAGGGAATTAGGACTACAACCTAGAATCACCTACCCAGCAAAACTGAGTATAATCCTTCAGGGTAAAAAATGGTCATTCAATGAAATAGAGGACTTTCAAGCATTCCTGTGGAAAAGACCAGAGCTGAATAGAAAATTTGACCTTCAAATACAAGACTCAAGTGAAACATGGAAGAGGTAAACAGGAAAGAGAAATCATAAGAGACTTATTAAGGTTGAACTGCTTACATTCCTGCAGGGAAAGATGATATTTGTAACTCATGAGTCTTTTGTCAGTATTAGGGTAGTGGGAGGGAAAAAATTATATATTTGTATAGATAGATAGAGGACACAGGCTGAGTTGAAGATGAAGGGATATCTAGAAAATAAAATTAAGGGGTGGGAGAAGATTATACTGGGAGAAGGAGAAAGGGAGAAGTGGAATGAGGTAAAATATATCACATGAAACAGAGAAGAAAAGGCTTTTAAAGTGGAAGGGAAATGGGGGAAGGTGAGAGGGAATGAGTGAATGTTATTCTCATAGGATTTGGCTTAAGGAGGGAATAACATACACAATGGGGTATGGAAATCTATCTTACTCTACCGGAAAATAAGGGGGGAAGGAGACAAGAGAGCAGGGGGTTAATAGCGGGGAAGGCAGATTGGGGGAGGGGATAATCAAAAGCTAACACTTCTGAGGAGGGACAGGGTCAAAAGAGAGAATAGAATAAATGGGGGGGTAGGATAGGATGAAGGGAAATATACTTAGTTTTTCACAACATTACTACTATGGAACTGTTTTGCATGGCTGCACATCTATAACCTGTATCGAGATGCTTGCCTTTTCAATGACGGTGGGTGGAGAGGGAGGAAGGGAGAAAATTTGTAACCCAAAGTTTTAAAAACACTTGCTAGAATGAGGCCAAACACTGGATTGCATGGGTTTAAGCAGTGGAAGGTAAAGTAGAAGCAACAGCTCCAGAAAGGTTTTTCCAGATTTGTCTGAGGAAGAAGAGATAATTGATGATGACGATGATGATAGCTAAGATTTGTATGGTGCAGATCCAGCCACATTACCCCACTACTCCATAAACTCCAGTGGCTCCCTAACACTTCCAGAATCAAATACAAAATGCTCTGCTTGGCATTTAAAGCCCTTCCTAACGTAGCCCCCTTCTATCTTTCTTGTTTTCTTATATCTTACTCTCTGTCCTGTACTCTCTGATGGTTCAGGACATTTCCTTAGGTTGTCCTCTATGCCTAGAATGTTCTCCCTCCTCCTCTAGCCATCTTGGATTCTCAGGTCTCAAGTCCCAGAGAAAATTCCCTAATCCATTTTCCCTCTGTTGATTATTTCTAATTTATCATGAATATATGTATACATATGTGTGTATACATATATATGCATATATATAATACATAGTTGTTTGCATGCTATCTCTCACATTGGGTTGTGAAATCTTCAAAGACAGGGGCTATCTTTTTGTCTTTTTTTTTGTATGCCTAGTGCTTAGCACAGTGACTGGCACATAGTAGGTACATAATAAATGTTTTTGGACTGACTGGCTATCTTATGGCTTACCTGCAAAGCATTAATCTGACTGCTCCATGCTTTTAGGAGAGAGGAATTGGAGAGACTGTCCCCTCTTCTCCCTTGCCCTTCCTAAGAGCCATGGTCTGTGCATTTGAGTGGGCTGCCAAGAATGTAGTTAGAGAGCTGGGCAAAAATGGGGAGCTGATCCCTGTGGACAGCCTGAAGAGCTCCACTCGCTTCAGTCCCTACTGCTTGGTTCGGAAGAAGACCAGGAGCTCCTTGTTTCGGAGGTCACAGTATGTTTGCCTCAATTTGACTCTCAAGGACATTCTGGATCCCAGCTCCCCAGAACCAGGTACAATCCCCTGGAGAAGTGAGGGTGTGGCCAGCACAAGTGGGTGAGAGGAGTGGAGTAAGGCTACTGAGATGGATTTTGAAGAGGAAATGGGACCATCAGGCTTGGCCAGAATACACAGCTATTCTAGGACTGACTGTGTGGGCACATGCTGTCCTATATCAGTGATATCCAAAGAATTCTATCCAGCCACCCTAAATAGAGGTTGTGGTGAATTGGGGAGGCAATGCAGAACCATGGAACAAGCCAGAGAGTTGGGTTTGAGCCCTTCCACTTTCTAGATGTGTGAGTGGGGATAAGACACTTACCTGCTCTGAGACTCTGTTTCCTCATCTGTAAAATGGGAATAATAATATTTGTATGCCCCATTTCACATGCTGGTTGTGCAGAAAGCATTTGTTACATCTTAAAGTGTTATAGAACTGTGAATTATTGTGACATGGGAAGTAAACATAAGGTTGGGGTCCTAGATGCCTTTACCTCATCCCGTGGTGGCCCCTGCTACACAACCACTTTTAATGCTCACTTTAGCTAAGGATTGGCCTCTCTCACTCCAGAAGTGACCCAGCATGGACCATTCCACTTTAATGATGAGGTGGACGGGCAGGTGTCTGGCAGTGTGGAGGTGACTGCCTCTGTGCAGGGAAAGATTTCAGGACAGACTTCAGTGTCAAACAAAACCATCCTCAAAGTCAAGACTCTCATCGTATCCCCTAACACCTGGGACAGCTTACAGAAGGAAAGGTGAGAGGAATGGACAAGACAAGAGCTGAGAGTTCTAGTGACTTCTCTTTGGGGGTGGGGGAAGGTGGAGGAGGGAGTGGGAGCAAAACAAAGTGGCCCAGGGGCCACCAGAGAGAAATAGAGAGTCAGAGTTTTCCTTGGGTAGTGCTTATGTCCTATACTGTCTGAGGTCTGGAAAAGACCCTGTCCCTAGCCTCATGGAGCTCACAGACTAGAGGGGATGAGAATAATCCATTTAAACACCAATTCACAGTATTATCTAAGTGTACTAGGAAGGTACAAAGTGAGGTCCAAGAAAGAAGGTTCTTCCCATCAGGAAGAGATGTGGAAAGGTTTACTGGAGGAAGGGGCATTTGAGTTTAGCTTTGATTGATGGGTAGGAATTTAACAGGTTAAGAGAGTGAGGGAAATCATTTCAAGCATTTCAACAAGAGCAAAGAAGGCATGTTCAAGAGGCAGTAGTTTTAAAACATATATATATTGACATCATTTGTTTATATAGCACCTCCACACCTAAATGTCTTTCCCAGCTAGTAATCCATTCCTTGTGACAAAAAACACAAAATAGAGGGAGAAAATGGGTCAACAAAACTAGCCAACATGGCAGCTGAGTCTGACTATGTATATAATGCTCCACACCCGTAGTCCCCCATCTTTGCAGGAAAGGGAAGAAGGTTCATTTTCTCACCTTTTATTCCTCAAGGACAAGCTCTGTCATTGTAATTATTCAGTATTAAGTTTTGTTTTTGCTCTTCCCATTTACACCATTGTAGGCACTGTGTATATTCTTTTCCTGCTGGTGCTTACTTCATTTTGCATCAGTTCATAGAAGTCTCCCCATGTTTTTCTGAATTCTTCAAATTCTTTATTTCTCCTACTTACACACTCAGGTACCACAATTTTTTTGGCATCTACTTTGTTTCCAGTTCTTGGCTGCCATAAAAGGTGCTAGTATGAATAAGACCACCTGTCTTAATCTTGGGGCACACATGCCTAGCAGTGGGACCTCCAGGTCAAAGATGTGAACATTGTAGCATCATTCCCAATTGTTTTCCAGAAAGACTGAACCAATTCATGTCTCCATCTCCAGTGTACTAGTGTGCCTGTCTCTCCATAGCCAATCTAACATTGTCATGTCTATTATTTGTAATCTTTGACAGTTTTCTGGTTGTAAGGTGAAACCTCCGACCTATTTCAGTTTGTATTTTTGAGGGCAGTTTCAAACAGTCCTGTTTGAATGGAATGGAAACATTGAGGAGTCCTATGTAGTAAGGTAGGAAAGGTTGATGGGCCTCAGATTGAAGGAAGGTCTTGAACGTCAGACAGAGGAGTCTGAACTGTATTTAGTAGGCAGTAGGAAGTTGCTGAAGACTCTTGAGCAGAGGAATGACATGACCAGATTGACAGATGAGGAAGATGAGTCTGGCAGCAAAATGAAGACCAAAGTAAAGGAGGGAGAGGATGGAGGAGGCATCACTGCCTATTTGGAGGCAATTGGGTTAGTTCCTGCAGGTGGTAATTAGGGGCTGTAATAGGGTGGAGGCAATGGGTATGGAGAGGAGGGGACAGATGTAAAAGGTGATGGAATCAACAGGGCCTACTCACTGGTTAGATGTGAGACATGAGAGTGGAGAAAGAACAATAATTCCCAGATTATCAACTTGGGAGACCGTGTGAACAGAGTTGCTACAGACAGGAATAATAACATCAGGAAAAGGATCAAGTTTGCAGTTGAATGAGCTCAGTTTGGGGCTGGTTGAGCTTGAGGCGTCAGCGGGACATCTGGGTGGAGATGATCTGTAAACATCACAGACACAATCCAGGGGAAAGCGCCCTGGATTTAGACCATGGGTAAGCCTCTTGTCTATGGAGTTTATCAGTTTCTTTATTTAATCTAGCTAAGGAGCTGAAACCCTAGACGCTGCTGCCCTCTCCTGGCTGCTCATTATAGAGTCATTTAAAAAGTATTGCTCGCAGGGCCACTAGGTAGCATAACGGATAAAGCTCCGGCCTTAGAGTCAGGAGGACCTGAGTTCAAATGTGGCCCCAGACACTTGACACTTACTAGCTGTGTGACCCTGGGCAAGTTACTTAACCCCGATTACCTTACCAAAAAGCAAAAAAAAAAAAAGTATTTCTCCCCTTGGACAGCTAAATGATTAAAAGAGGGAGGTGCAATGTTTTTTTAGCAGTGGCACACTGTGGAGAAAAGTATTCTGTCTTTGTGACCTTTTGAACTGATTATAGGACCCAAGATTTAGAGTAGGAAGGGAATTGAGGAGTCATCTAGTGTCTTATCCCTTCATTTTACAGGCTGAAAGAATTTGCTTCTGAGGCTAGCACATTGTCCACTTCCACAGGTGCTAAAATGACTTGTTCTGTTTTGAGTGTAGGGGAAAACACTTTTGATCACACTTTTTTTGGGGGTGGTTAAGTGACTTGCCCAGAGTCACACAGCTGGTGAGTGTTATGTGTCTGAGGCCGGATATGAAGTCCTATCTTCCTGACCCTATCTACTGCACCACTTAGCTGCCCCATGATCGTACTTTTGATTCCCTCTCCCCTTTGTATGAAAGATGGAGAACAAATGTCATTAGCTAACTCTATAGGATACTATAGGAAGGGGAACAATTTCAAAATCTAGCCAACAATCAGGACATGTTCTTGTGAAGTGAGAGTGAACCTGGGATGGCTGAAAGGCAGTTTCCCCACTGAAACATCCTTATTATACTGATCTGTAATTGGCCCACCTGGTATTCTGGCCTGAGCTCATTCTTCTGTTTTCCAATTCCAAACCCATTCTCAGCCAATCGGGAAGCTACCTGATGATTGCTGGTGGGTTCCAGGTGATGCACCTACTCTCCTGAGTAAACTACTTAGCTAATAGGCTGACTATATGTCCTTCCTCTTCAATGCAGTCTAGGCTAGATGTCCTGTCACTTACTAACTAGGGGTGAATCATTCAACACAGCATCTAGCATAGCAAAAGATTTAAAGCTGAAAGGGACCGTGGTTGCTGTTCACTTGTTTTGGATGTGTCCAATTCTCCAAAACCCCATTTGAGGTTTCTTGGCAGAGATACTAGAATGGTTTCTTACTTCCTTCTCTGGCTCATTGAGGTGAGGAAAGAGAGACCAACAGGCTTAAGGGACTTGCCCAGGGTCACACAGCTAGTAGGTACCTGAGGCCAGATTTGAATTTGGGACTTTCTGACTCCAGGCCCAGCAGGCTGTCCAAGGTACCCCTAGTTGCCCTGAAAGGGATATCTATTCTAATCTTCATTTGACAGAGGAGTAAACTGAGGTTCATGGGACTGAAGAGACATACCCAGGGTCAAGTAACACTAGGTGACCCTCACTTTCTCCATTCATAAAATGGGGCTTGTGAGGAAAGCCTTTTGAAATCCTTAAGTGTCAGGGAAATGGTGGCTCTGATTATTGCTGGCTGATGTGAAAGATTTGCAGGGACTGCCAATGACAGCCACCTGAGAGCAACTATGGGTCCTAGGAGAGGGGGCTAGTGTGTGGGAATGGGGCTGACTGGGGAGGCAAGAGGTCCACCAAAGGCCTCATTCTATGTGACCATTTTCTAGGACCAGAATCAGAAATATCCAAGAGCCAGGGACAGCTAGGTGGCGCAGTGGATAGAGCACCAGCCCTGGATTCAGGAGGACCTGAGTTCAAATCTGACTTCAGACACATAACACTTACTAGCTGAGTGACCCTGGGCAAGTCACTTAACCCCATTGCCTAGCCAAAAAAGAAAGAAATAAAAGGAAATATCTAAGAGGCACCCTATACACAGTGCTCAGTAAAGGTGTTCATGATGATGAAGACGATGATGCAGTCCCAGGCTGTCTTTGCTCTGGGGCCATATGCTCCCTCAATTATGTTGTACAATGTTCCATTGTCCTTACAGCCACATTCCCCATCTCCTGTTCTCCATGTGCCCCCCTCACTATACACTTTCTCTTCCATTTCCTCCTGCTTGCATCTCTTATTACAATCGATGTGGATTCTCTCACTCAACCTATAAAGCCTTTCCATCTTGGCTGGATTGACCAGAGTTTTCAGGTCATGATAAAAGACTAGAGAAGGACCATGGAGCAAGAAATCCCTTCATCTACCTATTCTGAATTAACCCACAGACATTAATTGAGTTCCCCCTTATTGCCCTCTTCTCCAGGCTGTGTTGTAAGGTGCTGTTCTAAGCCTGATGTCTTCCATACCACCTTCCAGTTGTCCCAGTGGTTTTTAAAACTCAGCATATCTTTAACAATGTTGTTTAAGTGGTTGTAGTTGACAAGCAATCTTGCAGGATCTGAACATACCTAGTTTTGCTCAATTGAATCAGAACTTTTTTTAATTATCAAAAAGTAATAATAGCAAAAGAATCTTGTGTTGGATAAAGCTCTCAGTCATTTATGTGACTATGAAGATTATTGTTGAAAATCTCCTTTGAAAGCCTGCCTATTTCCTTCTCATATTTTCAAGGAAGCCTTAAAGTATCCTAGAAACATGCGTTATCATTATCATTACTAACAATACAAAGGTCAGCTATTGTTATGATTCTATCTTAGTCAAAAGGAACAAAACAGATGAAAGAGGCAAAGGAATTGCATATTCACTTGAGAAAATCCAGAAACCAAAGGGGAAAAGCATCAGTAAAGCTGAAGATGAACAGAGGGAGAAATGGAAGCAATCTTGTGCTGGGAGTGTACTATGCAACACCTGGACAGACAGGATAAATAGATGAGGACTTCCAAGAACAGATGTGCAAGTCTTGCATGAGATAGTATCAACAGGAAACTTCCTTTACCCAGTTATCTGCTAGAGCTGTCCTCCTATCAAAGGCAGAAAGCATATCAAATTCTTCATAGAATTTCTCCCCTTCTTCATCTTCCACCCAGAAGTTAGTGCATAATCTGCAGTCATCTTCATAGCAGTCTGTTTGTTTCTGCCTCTCATGAGCATTGCAAGGCAAAACAACCAGGTGGCCATGAAATTACATTTCTTGTCATCTTCAAAACTAACTCTACTTTTGTATTTGCTTTCCCAAGGAGAGCTTGTCAACTGCCATTCAATTTAGCTACAACTTGTTTTATGTCTTCTGGTTTTATTAATACTGAGAGAAAACATTGTTTATTTCCCAATTTAGTTAGTATATTAATTCATTTGCTGCACAAAAATTTACCATGTAGAATACTAACAGTTAAACTAATATTTAAGGACAATCTCTCCTTATGTGCTGTTCTAAAGCTTATCTTCATCTGATCTGTACCCTCCCTTCACTAAACACCGTGACTATGATTCTCTTGCAATCGCTTCCTGTATTCATGTTGAGATCTTTCACTAATGAAGCCACATTGCCAAGAAGACAGATGCAAGAAGGCATTTCCCTTAGTTGACATCTCTACTTTTTGCATTAGGAAATCACAGTTCCCCAATCAACATGTGGTTCCCTGTCTAACTCTTCCATCTCAAGTCCAGGTGGTCAAAGTCTCCCATTATCTCAGATCTGACAAAACTGCTCTCTTGAGTTAAACAAAAAAAGGCCTTGTATGACAAGGAAAAAAAGAGTCATAGCTAACATTGTTACCTCCTGCTTATAACCTATCATCTCTACAGTGGATTATAAATATTTCAAAAAACTCTGAGTTGCTTGTAACTTCTGTTTTCCTCATTATTCTTTCACCCACATTATAGAACCATGTAAGCCCTATCCCACCCAACTTCATTTGATAGAACCCTAGTGTTTCAGAGCCGGAAGAAGCCTGAGAGGACAACTAATCCAACCTCTAAAAAATTTGAACAACTGGTTCTCATAAAAATTGCAAAACTGTTAACAAAACTGTGAAAGAATGCTCCAAATTACTAGTAATGAAAAAATTCATATCAAAACAACCCTGAGGCTTTACCTCACATCCAGCAAAGTAGCAAAAATGACAAAAGACATGAATAGTCAATGTTTGAAAGGTTGTGGGAAGACAGGTACACTAATGCATTGTTGGTGGATCTGTGAATTAAGTACAACCTGTTTGCAAAGCAGTTTGGAATTGTGCAAAGAAAACGACTCAAATGTCCATATCCTTTGACCCAGAGATTCCACTGGTAGGAATTTACTCTCATGGAGGTTATTTTCATAAAGAAAAACTCTGTGCATACCAAAATATTTATAGCAACATTTATTGTGGTAGCAAAGAACTGGAAACAAAGGAGATATTCATTGATAAGAGAAATAGCTAAACATGCTATGATAGCACATGAACGTAATGAAATATTAATCTGCTGTAAGAAAAAAAAAGACCAACATGATGAATTCTATAAAGCATGGAAAGACTTACACAAACTGGGGTAAAGTGAAAGAAGCAGGGACAGGAAAACAATATAAACAATAAACTCTCTCTTCTCCAGGCTAAACAACCCCAGTTCCTTGAATTGTTTCTATCTCACTTGATTGGTTTTTTTTCAAACTCACTATCATCTTGGTGGCCCTTCTTTTGATAGCTCTGCCTTAATGATATCCCTCCAAAATGTGTTTGACATTATAGGAGACAGGGGTCCTTTTGGCTCCAGTCACAGCTGGAGGCCTTGCAAACATGTGCACAAACCATCCCCCAAGTCTAAACCCCTATATTACACCACATTATATACACATATTCACATTATGTTAACTCCCCCAAGGCAGTAGCCTGATGATATCCAAACATGCTATACCCAGAGATTGCCTTGAGCAAGGTCATAACTGAGAGGGATGGGAGGAGGAAATTCCAAATGCCTTACCTGCTGCATTCCCTCCTCCTCTCCTACAGGACAATGAAGGCACCAGAGCCCTCTATCATTCAGGAGCTTCAGAAATGGGGAGAGAGCCCGTATGTTGTGACAGAAGCCATGAGGACCCAGAAGGAGGCCATTCTGAAGAGGTCCAGAAAGAAGGAAGGCTTTGGGAAGATCACCATTCCTGGGGCCTCGTGTGTCCAGGTTAGAACATACTTTGGAGAGATGGGGGCAGGGAGGAAGTCCCCAGCATCCAGGGACCTTCCAGCTTTAGCCCCACATCCCCAGAGACTCCCCACAGGCAGCTGGAGACCTGGACTGGACCTGAAGACTCTGTAGGTTCATGTCCCTTTCCTGCTTCCTGTCTGGTGCATATCCATTAAAAATAGCAAGTCCTACTGTGCGTAATTGGTGCTTAGTCAGCTCTCAGGGGTGTGGATATTCATCAAACAGTAGATAATCCAAGAATACTTCAGTTGGGGTTGGGAATGCAGTTAGGCCAAGTCAGGAAGCTGCTGCATTCCCTTCCTCATGACTCCAGGAAGCTCCTTTAAATGTGATGAGACTTCCCAGGACTGTCTGATGAGGAAGCACGCACCCCCACACCCACACCCACACCCGCACCCACACCCACACACACACACACACACACACACACACACACGCACACACACACACACACATTGGAGGGAGCCAGCCTGGGGTTGAAAAGCTGTAGGGAAATGGCTTAGGGGACACCTGCAAATAACTGAGAGAGGATTGTTGTCCTCAGTCACAGCTGCATCTGACAAGACCCAACCCAGGTTGGAGCTCAAAGCCTCTGTTCCTGCCTACTATTTCTTCTCATTCCCTCTCCCCATCACAGAGAACTGGGGGCTGACTCCTACCCAGCCTCCATCCTGACTTCTGCTCCTCCCTCTCCTCCACTCCCTAATCCTCAGATCCCTGCTGTAAACCTAGCCACATCTGAGCACTGGATTTGGAGTCAAAGGACACGAGTCTAGATTCCAACAGTATGACCTTGGACAAGTCCCTTCATCTGAGATGGGATTTCCTGAGAATGAGAGAGTTGGATGAGCTGAGCTCTGAGGACTCTTCTACTTCTAGATCTGTGATGCCTGCCCTCTTTCCTTCTCTCCCCAGGGTGAGGGTCAGGGGAGCTTGAACACAATGAAGGCAGTGACTGTCCCTGGGGGCAGTGTACTTGCTTTCCAAGTTGCCAAGTTGATTATCCGGGACTACTGGTGTAAGTTGAATCAGAAGGACCTGGATGGGGTGGGGGTTAGAATGGGTAGAATGGAAATTCCCCATAAACCACCTTCCTCCTACCAAGGGCTGAGGGAGGTGGGGAAGGGGAGAGGGCATTACTGTAGTACATGTCCTGGTGTTTGGGGAACTCAGCTGCCCAACTGTTTAGGCAGATGACATACGCAGAGACCACGTCCCTCTCTACCCCACACATATGGTCTTTTTTTCCCCAATAGGAAAGTTCACTTTTATTTATTTTTTTAATTGTATTTTATTTTTCCCCAATTACACATCAAGAAAATATTTAGCATTCATTTTTATGAGATTTTGAGTTCCAAATTTTTCTCCCACCCTCCCTTGCCTCCCCTCTTCCTGAAATGGTAGGCAATTTTATATAGGTCATACATGTACTATCATGTAAAACATATTTCCATAGTAGTCACAGTTGTGAAAGAAGAAAAGATCAAATGGAAAAAGAGCCACAAAGAACAAAGTAAGTGAAAAAAGTACACTTCTATCTGCATTCAGAGTGCAGAGTGCATCCTAATTTTTAATTAGGATGTGGATAGCATTTTCCTTTCTGAGTCCTTTGTACTTGTCTTAGAAACAACATATTGTAGGATTCTGGTTTTTGATCCACTCTGCTATCTGCTTCCATTTTATAAGAGAGTTCATCCCATTCACAATTATAATTACTAACAGTGTATTTCCCTTCATCCTATTTTTCCTCCTATTTGTTCTCTCTCTACTTTGACTCTTTTCTTCCCTGATAGTGTTTTGATTCTGTCTACCACCTCCTCCCCCCCACCCCCATTTGCCCTTTCTTCTGCAAGTCCCACCACCACCATCTTTATTTAATCTCCTTCCCTCTTACTTTCAAGTTAGGCAAGATAGATTTCTATATTCCACTGCTTGTGGCTCTTTGAGCCAGTACTGATGAGAGTAAGATTTAAATGATGCCCATCACCCACCCTCCCATCTTCCCTTCCACTGTAATAAGTTTTCCCTGTCTCTTCATGTGAAATAATTTACCCAGTTCTACCTCTCCCTTCCTTCTGTACCCAGTATACTCCTCTTTCTCTTCCCTTAGTTATTTTTTTATTTCATTCCCTCAAATTCACCCTATACCTTCTGTCTATGTATATTCCTTTGATGTGTTCTATTACTGGTACAATTTCTAAGAATTACAAGTATCATCTTCTCGTGCAGGGATGTAAACAGTTCAGTTCCACTGAATCCTTTGTTTTCCTTTCCCTTCTTAACTTTCTCTTGCATCTTGACATTGGAGATAAATTTTTGGTTTAATTCTGGTCTTCTCCTTATGAAAGCTTGAAATCCTTCTATTTCATTGAATGATCATTTTTTCCCTCGAAGTATTATACTTAATTTCACCAGGTAGGTGTTTCTTGGTTGTAGTCCTAGCTCTTTTGCCTTCTGGAATATCATGTTCCATGACCTCTGATTCTTTGTTGTTGTAGCTGCTAAGTCCTGTGTGATCTTGATTGTGGCTCACCAATATTTGAATTGTTTCTTTCTGGCCACTTGCAGAATTTTTCCTTGACCTGATAGTCTTCTAATTTGGCTATAATGTTCCTTGGAGTTTGTATTTTGGGATCTCTCTCTTGAGGTGATTAGTGAATTCTCTCAATGCCCATTTTGCTCTCTGGTTCTGCGATATCAGGGCAGTTTTCCTTGATAATTCCTTGAGAGATGCTGTCCAGGTGCTCCTTTTGGTTATAGATTCAGCTCTTCTCAGGAACACAATGATCCAAGACAAGTACAAAGGACTTATGAAGGAAAATGTTATCTACATCCAGATGAAAAACTGATGGACTCTGAATGCAGATCAAAACATATTTTTTTTTCACTTACTTTATTCTTTCTCATGGTTTTATTTCCTTTTCATCTGTTTCACTTTCCACATCTGTGATGAATATGGAAATACGTTTTACATGATAGCACATGTATGAATCATTTCAAACTGCCTACCATTTTCAGAAAAGGGGAGGGGATGGAGGAAGGGAGAAAAAAATTTGGAAATCAAAATGTTGTGAAAATGAATGCTACAAAATTTTGATTAATATGTAATTGGGGAAAATATAAATTACTATTTAAATTTTTAAAAAGGCTACACTGATTTATAGCCCCTCCAATAATGGAACCCTATGCCTTTGTTCCCATAGCTGCAACTGCATTGAATTTTATCATTTTTAATCATTTTTTTTCTTTATCTAGGTGTTCTTCTACTTCCCGACAAGAACCAGAAAACCTTCCCACTCAAAAGTGAGTGACAGGCTTGCTTGTCTTTCTAGCCCCTGGACCCAGTGAGCCCTTGACAGCCCATCCAGGGGGACCACTGTCCACATAGCTCCTCAAGGACACTTTTAGTTTCCTAGAATTGAGAAACTACCCTTTCTGGTTTTGATTCAGCCGAGGATTCTGCTTAGGTGGGCCCCAGAGAGAACTAAGTACCCTTTCCCTCTATGTAGGATGGAGGAGATAGAACTTAGGAGATAATAAGAACAAGGAAGGAAATGGAGTGGCTAGAGAGCTAGAGTGGCCTCCAAATCCAGAAGAACTGGGTTCAAGTCTAACCTCAGACATGTACTGGTTGTGTGACCCTGGACAAAACACTTCATTTCACAGTGCCCCAGGCAAATCTCTGTGACTGTGAATTGCTAAGGAGTTGTAGATCTGCACTGGCAGAGGGAGTTTCTTCATTGGCCAATCTCAATACCAATGAAGTCACTGGAACTAAAATATATACAGGGTGTCCCAAAAACCTTTTTGATGTCATTTGGTCATGTTTAATCTTCATGACCCCATTTGGGGTTTTCTCAGCAAAGATACTGTAGGAGTTTGCCATTTCCTTCTCCAGCTCATTTTTACAGAAGAGGAAATTACAGCAAACAGGGTTAAGAGAGCTGCCCTCAAAAGTCTTAGTGCAGTTAAAAGATTTAATAGCTTTTGAGACACTCTCTATATGTGTGTGTTCATATATATATATAGACATAGATGTATGCATATATATTTATGTGTATATACATGTACATACATATGCACATATACACACACACACACAGAGGTATATAATGCATACATGTGTGTAGATGTACATGGGTCACTAGGTGGTACCGTGGATAGAGTGCTGAGTCTGAAGTCAGGAAGACCTGACTTCAAATCCATCTTCATTTACTAGCTGCATGACCCTGGGCAAGTCACTCAACCCTGTTTGCCTCAGTTTCCTCATCTGTAAAATGAGCAGGAGAAGGGAGCCCAGGTGTTCTTAATGACTCTGCACCATAGATGGGTTCCCTGTCTCCCTCTCCAGCATTCCATTCACTCTAACTTCATGATGGTGATAGAAAGATGAAGGTCTTAGGAGAATATTGGGTCCTGCTTGTTCATTAGGTTATTCTTTGGGACCTTTCCTCCATCTGCATAAACAAGATGTCAGCAATAATTTACATGTTTTATATTACTTTAGATTTGTCTAATAGAAAATCTCACAATGCACTTGAATCCTCTGGGCTCTTAAGGGGTGAGATGGGCAGGCGTTAGCATCCTCCTTTTACAGATGGAGAAGCTCCACTCTTGACTTATGGTCAGCAGACACCTTGGTTCAAATCCTACCTCACATGTACACAACAGCTGTGTGTTGTGGCCACATTGCTGAGGGACCCAGTCTTCTCATCTGTAAAATGGGGATCATATCACCTGTAGCCCAGACCTCTTCAGGTCCATTTGAGGATCAAGTGAGATAATCTATGGGAAGTGCTTTGCAAACTTTAAACCCTCGCTAGCTAGAAGTGAGCTGTTACTTTTAGGTCTAGCACTGGCCCAATCAATCACCTGCTAGACTGGATGGTAAGAACCATAGGGATGGGAAGACAAGCTGAGTCAGGGACACGTGCAGGGTGCATTTGATTCTTTGATTTGAAGCTGGGCAGTGTTGTTCTGTGCTATGATTCCTAATGAATCCTGGCAATGGATAGCCTCTGAAGACTGAAACAGGCATTTTCTCTTTTCAGTTCCAGAATGTATAATGTGCTGCGAATCAGGTTTGTGGCTTTTTTTTTCTGCTATGTTCCCACCTCCTCTGCCTCTCTCAACTGAAACACAGAGATAAGAGCATCCTGAAATATTCAGATCATCAAGCCTTAATCTGCCTGCCTGCATCCTCTGTTCACTGCTTCCAGTTTTGCCCTCTTAAATCAACAGAACGAGTCCAGTCCCTTTTCTGCAGCCCTTGAAATACTTGTACATAGCTATCATTGTCAGGTACCTTCTCCTGCCAGGTGATCTTCAGAATCTTCCTAAGACTATTCAAATGGGAAGATTCCATTTCTTGGCATAGCACATGTCCAGGTTTCACAGGCATACAGCAAAGAGGTCATCACAATGGCTCTGTAGACCTCCAGTTTGGTAGGTAACCTAATACCTCTTCTTTTCCATACTTTACTTTGGAGCTTCCCAAACACTGAGCTAGCCCTAGCAACGTGTGCATCAACCTCATTATCAATGTGTACATCCCTAGAAAAGATACCACCAAGGTAAGTGAATTTATCCACAGTATTCAAATCTTCTCCATTTGCTATAACGGATGGTTCCACGAATGGATGGTGTGGTGTTGGTTGGTGAAGCACTTGTGTTTTCTTGGTGTTAATTGTTAGGCCAAAATGAGCTCAAGCAGCAGAGAATCAATCCATGCTTTGCTGCACGTCAGCTTCAGAGACTGTACTGAGTACATGACCATCTGTGAACAAAAAATCTTACACTATTCTCCTTCATGTTTTTATGTATGGTGTGCGTATATGTGTGCATACATACATACAATGACTGTAGAGATCATCCGATTCAATTCAATATCAAATAGGCCCAATCAATAGACATTGAGCTGGGCCCAGAATTGAAATGTAGGACAGTAGGTTGCATGGTCTCTGGGAAATTATACACTGTTTTCAATGATGTTAAGCCATTCCTTAACACAAAAGCTCATCTTTTTAACATCAATATGCACCTGGGAAAGTTCTTCTGGAGAATCAAAATGACAGATAACCCAAAGAACAAAGGGGCAGACACATAGTGGACATAAGTAGGCTTCAGCAAGACCAACAATGAGGACTTGTGGACAAGAAGTGGTGCAAAAGCTCTCATCAAGGATATGTGTGATTGGCAAATGAAGGGAGCCTGCCATGGAGTGAGAGGAAGGGATATGAGGAGGGAGGTCCAAGTGCTGCCGTGTTAGCCACAAAATGTTAAAAGACTCCAATCACTAGGCCACTCAGCAAAAATTTACCAGGCCATGCTCAGTGCTTAGGAATAGGAAAAAAGAAAAGGCAAAAACCAAGTCCCTGCTCTCAGCCAACTCAGAGGCTAAGCGGTACAACAGCGTGCAAACATTTATGTACAAATGAGTGCATGCACAACCAATTGGGGGGAGTCTCTTACACACATTCATTCTCTACCTTCATTAGTCCTGTAGTCCACAATGCACCTACACAATATTCTTCTAATTTAGCTCAAGACTTTGCTTCTCCCAGGTACTTTTCACCATAAGTCAGTCTAGTTTGAGGACAGACAACAGGTTTCTAAGATCTCTCTCAATTCCCTGTCTCCTGACTCCCTTAACTTAGCAGTATAAAGCCTAAGGTGTTAACTTAATGAAGACTGAGATTCCCCACCCCCACCCCCTGCTTTTAGTATCTTCTCTTCCTTCAGATAACTTGTATCAAAACAAACAAACAACCAGATAACTTGTATCCTGGTCCCTCAATGCCCACACAATCCTCTTGCTTCCAGCTTGGATATATTCTATAAACACCAGGTCCAATCTGGATGTCTTGCTATCTTTACTGCCACTTCTAATTGCTTTACAAGCATGTCCAGGACTTAGGTGTCAGGGTCAAGAGTGGTGGTTTCCTTGTCCCTGATGAAGAAAATAATTTTTAAAAATTATTTTTGCACATCTTCATTTCTCTTCTGTTAACAATTCTTTTATTTTCATCCTTGAATGTCCTTGGAATGACTGCTAAATTAGTTATCTTGCCACCCTTTCCTTAAACTTGTTTTACTCTGCACTGATTCCTTCTGCTTTATGAGACAATAATTTATATTATTTTATATCTAATATACATTATATACATAATAACTTATGATTATCCATCCTCCTTCTTTGTAAGATTTCACAAATGAGTTTCTATTCAAACCAGGTGTGATAACTGGCAGCTATCTCTCTCTAGCAAGTGAGTGATATGTTTCACAAGATGCTGTATGGGCTTTTTTGGTCTCCCCATTATGAGAATTAACTTGCATTGATTAGTAAAAGGAAAGAACTACTGCCATAAAACAATGGAAAATGAATGTTGTAAACTTACAAAGAAAAAATTTGACCCCAAAGAATAGACATGAAAAGATAGCTCTCCCTGCTCCTTTGCAGAGGCCAGAGGTGGGACCCAAAGATGTGGAAAACTGCATATATTGTCAGAATTTGTCAATTATTCATTGGGTTGACTGGTTTTTTTTTTCTCTTTTTCCTCTTTTTTTTATTCTAAAAAAGGTCTTTGTTAATATGTGATGTAGAGGGCAAGAGGTAGAGGGGAAATTGCAGTGATACAAAAATAAAAGATATCAAAATTTATTTATAAAAAGAAAAGAAGAGGGCAGCTAGGTGGCGCAGTGGATAGAGCACTGGCCTTGGAGTCAGGAGGACCTGAGTTCAAATCCAGCCTCAGACACTTAATACTTACTAGCTATGTGACCCTGGGCAAGTCACTTAACCCCAATTGCCTCACCAAAAAGGGGGAAAAAAAGAAAAGAAAAATTACATTGTTTACACTGGTTAAAATGATTATTGTTGGTAAAAATGGTATTCATTGTGTCTACTGCCCATTTTTATTTTCAATCATTTACTTAAATAGTTCAGAATTAAATTATTTCAACTGAAAAATGACTACCAGAGTACATTAATAACTAATAAAATGTTTATGAAAGTCATCCAAATGCAAACCAAGGGAATCCTCAGTCAGGGTACTAGAAGAAGTAGGCTCTTATAAGTGATATTCAATAATGGATCACATCTTTATTATTCTACAATTAAATGTAAGGTAGAGAAGATATAAATTCCACTGTGCTTCTTTGTTGATTGCATTTGACTCAGTAAAATAAAATGCCAATTTACAGGCTTCTTCATAATAAAATATCTCTCATCCATACATCAAAATCATTCAAGATTCCCCAGAAGATCTAACAACACAAAGAACCCTGTTCAAGCACCTTCTGATAATAAACATGAAGTGACTCCTAAAACAGGAAAGATGTATGCTCACCACTATTCACCACTGTGATAAAGGAGCTCTGCCAGAGACAAGTTCAAAGAGGGATTTCCTGTGTATGGTTAGGTCCTTTAGATGCTCCCATCTGCAGAAGAAATTGTACTGATTTCATCAAGCCCTTGAACATTGCTGGAAGAAATCTGATCATTCAAAAGAGCTTGGCCCATCCATCTACACAAGTAAGACCAAGTGGATGAAGAATAGTTATTGCTTAGATTTCAACCTGTGTTTCAGTAAATGCCATTTTGGCTTCTCTAATAGTAGATGGATAGATAGATAGATAGATAGATAGATAGATAGATAGATAGATAGATAGATATGTATACACATATATGTGTGTATATATACATACACATACATACACACATATATATATGTGCTATACAGTTCAGATGGACAGTGAGTTAAGTCTAGAACTGAATAGGAAGAGGAAGGCAGAGAGCTTGATAACCTCTCTGGAGTGCTCCTTTGCTGACCACAAGATTCCCAGAAAAACAAAGGCTTGTCTTTTCAATGCTAACATTCTACTAGTATAACTAAATGGCAGTGAGACATAGAATGCAATTGCCTCCAAAGAATTAAAAATTTGTCTCATGCAGGGGGGAATAATGAAGAAGCATAGGTGGGTGTAAGCAGGCTACAACATATGAGGAACTTTCAAGAACAGGGGGAAAGGATGTTTGCAAGAGCAGTATGTTAGGAAGAGAAGCTGGGCTGGTCATTTGGAAAAGGCAAGGAATGCCAAGTGGACAATCACTATTCCCTTTGGAATGGAGTAAGAAAGGCCTCCAGCACTTTGGTTGGACCCTTGGGGTGAACTTTTGGGAGGACAGGGCCATATCACATAGAACAGGCAGGTATCAACAGGTTCAATCTGCCTCCTTGGGGAGAATTCCCAAATTGATGAGCTCATAGATCCATTGGAGTATCAAGCTGCACCAATCTCTAGAAAACTCAACAGCCAATTCTCCCAAGGTTGACCTATCTCTTCTGCTTCTTAGACTAGAGTGCCAGAGCAATAAGAAAACTTAGGAGAAGGTTTCTCAAAATTGATCATGAGGAGGAAGAAGTGTGAAGTGGATGGTAATTGCATTTGCTTAGATCCTCCCAGAAAGACATCATCCTGTCCACATGTTGTTGGCCTTGAACCTTTGGCAAGAGACAACTCATTTCTATTCAACGGCTTTTAAGCAAACTATTTGCCCTAGGAATAGGGAAGTTACTTGCCCATCTACAATCAATATGTTCAATTTAACACCTACTGTTAACTTTAAACTTATTTCTCTAGCCCCTACTGGGTTAAATACAGTATAAAGACAAGGGGAGGGCTGAGGACTGCCCCTTGAGGAAGAACATCATGGTGGGATTGGGAAGAGGATGAAGAGACTGGATGCTGGAAACAATAGCTAGAGAAACCATTCAGGGTCAGGGCGGAGAAGGGGAGATACTGCTCCCTGCTGGGTAGAGAATCCAAGGAGAAAGTCTAGAAAGTTCCTGATCCAAACTCCATTGTTGAACAGCGTAGAGAAGGGGGTGACTAAACAGCTCTCTTCTAACAATGGCTTCTAGCTATTTTAGTTCAGAGGAATGGCTGAACCTTAGCTTCTTGGGGAATATTACATCTCTTCTTTCCAAGTGATGCAGTAAGTGTATTTTAAACTATAATGTATTTTTTGCAGGTCCCAGGGAGTGGAGAAGAAGCTGAGAATCCTAATAGAAAACGAGACAGGAAGGCTACCTAAACTGTAATAGATTTTCCTGAAGCAAATTTCAGTTGGGGGAGCAATAAGCATTTTTATAGCACCTACTATGTGTCAGGCACTGTTCTAAATGATTTACAAATATCTCATTTGATCTTTACAACAACCCTTTTACCTGTGGAGGGTTCCTAACCACTCTCCCTCCCTGACACATCCAGTGGACTCTCTACCTCCCTCCCTACTTTCATATACAGGATCAAAACCCTCACTTCATCTGTAACTGAAAAATAATTACCCCTATTTCCTGAACTTTACAATCTCTTCCCAGAATCTCCCATCTCTCTTTAGTCTGCCCACTTGGATCTTTATTGCATTGAATGAATGAATGAATGAATGAATGAATGAATGAATGAATGAAAAAGTATTTATTAAGTAGGATGTGTAAGGCTTTCAGTGCTAAGCACTGAGGATACAAATGCAAAAATGAGACAGGCCCTGCCCTCCAGGAATTTATATTTTATAGGGGGAGACATCACAAGTAAGGGAGGGTGATCACCAAGGTAGGTTTTGGTCTGGGAAAGCACAAAGTTGGTAAGGGAAATAGGGCAGTCAATGAACACCTTTCTCAGAAGCAGTAGCTATAGATCTAACCATAGGTTCCCAAAGCAATAGAATCCACCAAGAGGTGGAAAGTTGGGGAATGGGGGCAAAAGAGTGGAGGAGAGGGCTGTAGGGAGGTACCTGCCAGAGAGCAGGTTGGAAATGGCCTCAGTGAAAGGGTACATTCAGGTCTAGGGGTCCCTCTCAATTCAAGAGAAACAGCCCTTTTCCTGTCTGTCTGACACTGCCTGGCCCTGAACCCATGATCTCTTACTCATTCTATGTATTTGCTCTTCTATTCTTAATTCATTCAACAAACATCTATTCATCATCCAACAACAATAAAAGCTACCACTCCCATTGCTATCCCCTTTAGGATTTACAGGGTGCCCTCCTCACTACAACCCCGTAAGATAGGGAATGCAAATATTCTTCACATTTTACAGAGGAGGGGGAACATGCTTAGTGCTGGAGTGGAGGGGTGGGGGCAAAAAGGAATAAGATGGAACCCCTGCCCTCCAGGAGCTTACAGTCTACGAGATAGGCATATCAGCAAAGAAACATATCTAAATACTATCAAGCAGTGCATCAAAAGAATCTATTTTTATCACCTCATATTCAGCACAGAATTTAGCAAGAGCATGTGGGAGAATCCCATTCATTTAGCCAAGCCTGTCATTTTGATTTTCACTCCCACCAAATCTTTGACCAGAGCTGAAAACAAGGCAGCTAATATTCCTTAGGAACTCACACACTTTTTGAAGGGCTTTGTATGAGGTGGTTTGGGCTGGGGGTTGGGGAAGGGACAGGAGAACGAAGGAGGAGACAGAGAGAAATGTTATAAAGGAAAGTACTCAGGTTGTGGCCTTGGGTAAGCATGGAACCTGGGACAGAGAAGACATCTGCAACAAGCTTTGGTGGAGAGAAGATGGGAGTAGAAGGCAGGAGAGCTCTACCACTCACTTGTTATGTGACCTGGCACAAGGTCTTTTTCTTCTCTGAGTCCTACTCTTTTCTTCTAAAAAGTAAGAGAGTTGATAGGATCATAGATTTTGAACTCAAAGGAAACGTTGTTGTTGTTCAGTTGTTTCAGTAATGTCTGACTCTTCATGATCCCATTTGGGGTTTTCTTGGCAAAAATTACTGAAGTGGTGTGCCATTGCCTTCTCCAGTTCATTTGACAGATGATGAAACTGAAGCAAACAGGGTTAAGTGACTTGCCCAAGATCATATAGCTAGAAAATGTCTGAGGCCAGATTTGAATTCAGGAAGATGAGTCTTAGGAGTCACTTAAATTGCCAGAACCCATCTGGAGTATTGTGTTCAGTTCTGGGAGCCACATTTCAAAGACATTGGCATATAGAGGTTCTGTGGTGGCTTATGTGTCTCTCCCCCCCGCCCTTGCAAAGATCAGCCTAGATTGGTGGTAAACAGAGTGCTAACCTTGGAAAACCTGAGTTTAACTCCTGCTTCAAACACTTACTAGCTCTGTATGGCTCTGGGCAAGTCACTTCACCTGTTTGCCTCAGTGTTCTCATCTCTAAAATGGAGATAATAATTGCACTTACCTCTCAGGGTTGTTGCTAGAATCAAGTGATATAACATTTCTAAAAGTGCTTTGCAAGTCTTTAAGTGCTAAATAATAATTTAATTAATGTAGCAAAATTCAGAGAAGTCATCACCACAATGATGACTTGGTAGGCCACAGCAGCCCTTGATGTCCATTTACTGAATTGTAGAAGCTCCTGGAAGCATGGCAGTATTGACAAGTTGGAAGACGTCCAGGATGAGACAGAGACTGGAGAGCCCATATGCCAGGACCAGTTAAAGGACCTGGAGCGAAGGGATTAGATGGCTGCCTTGAAATATTTGAAGGGCTCTCATGTGGAAGAGACATGAAATGTGTTCTTCCCAGACCCAGAAGACAGGACCAGGGTACTGGGTGAAAGTTGCAGAATCAGATCTAGGTTGGAAGTAAAGGAAAAAAAGATAAGACTTCCTAACTGTGCCGGCTGTGCCGTGCACTCTCTTCCTATAAGGAGCAGGCTGCCAGAGTCATACTTACCAGTCTTCGGAGCCTATCTGGATAAACACACAGAGACGAGCCTACCAGGAGGTGCCAACACCCGAGCTTTATTCAGAGGCCATCACAGCAAGGCCAAGCAGGAAGGCCATAGCAAGAGAGCAGGAGCAAAGAGAGCACGTGCTCCGACCCGCGACCCCGTTCCTTAAGTACCTACTTAGCCCCTCCTCCTCAGCCCGCCTACTAGTCAATGATTGTAGGGTCAGATACCGGAAGGGGATGTCTGAGTTTAGCGCACCAAGGGAGAGGAAGTGACGCAGGAGGCTAGGACCGGATACAGGAAGGAGGCGTCTGAGATTAGTGCATAGACAAAGAGTATGTGACCTAGGAAGTCAGGCCCAGATACCGGGAGGAGGCTTCTGGGGTCAGTGCTACACAAAGGGAAGGTACGTGACCCAGGAAGTCAGGAAGGACACAGGAAGGAGGCGTCTGGGGTTGACGTTGCATTTAGGGAGGGGACTAAGCAAAGGGAACTCGTCCTCTGCCGTCCCACTCCCACGTGGCACAGCCCCCTGCCTCAGGAGCACGTGCTCTGGCTACTTTCTTATATCCTGTTCCTTCCCCAGCTTATCGCAGCTCACATAGCACTGCCCACTGCCTCAGGACTTCTCCGTATCCAGCCCATCCCAGTTCACCACAATTCTACCTACCACAACCCCTGCCTCAGGAGCGTGAGCTCCGGTTACTTCCTAATACCCAGTTCCTACCCCATCTTGCTACAGCCTCCACTTGGCAGTAGCCAACATCAAACAGTCCCTCACACCTAACCATCAGAATAATCCCAAAAAGTGTCATGGGCTGCTTCTAGAGGGAAAGGTAGCTGGATGGCTCAGTGGCTAGAGAATTGGATGTGGAGTCAAGAGGTCTTGAGCTCAAATCTGACCTGAGATACATACTAGCTGTGTGACCCTAGACAAGTCACTCAACCTCTACCTGCCCCGATTTTGTCACCTGTCAACAGGGGATCATAATAGCATCTACCTCCTAGGGTTTTTGTGAGAATTAAATGAGGTGATATTTATTAAATACTTAGACCAGAATGATTTCAGAAAAACCTGGAAAGAGTGATGCATACAAACCGATACATAGTGAACTGAACACAAGCAGGAGAATGTTGTACACAGTAACAGCAATATTATACAACGAAGAACTGTGAATGACTTTGCTATACTCAGCAATACAATGATCTAAGACAATCCCAAGGGACTAATGACGAATCATTCTCTCTGCCTCCAGAGAAGAACTGATATTGTTTGAATATAAACTGAAGCATGCTAATTTTCACTTTCTTTCATTTTTTTCTTTTATTCAAGTCTTCTTGTACAAAATGACTCAAATGGAAATGTTTGACATGGTTGCACATGTATAACCTATATCTGCTTGCTATCTAAGGAGGGGTTAGGGGAGGGAGGAAGGAAGGAGTGAATTTGGAACTCAAAATTTTAAATTAAATTGTTTTTAACAATAAAAATAAAAATAAAACACTTAGCAAACCTTAATGTACTCTGAGATACATGCTCACTCTTATTATTATCATCATTATTCATGAGTCCCCCTTTATTATGTCAGTCCTGGTGATACCATACAATGAAATGACTCCTGTTTAAGTGTAATTGACAGTTGTGACACTGTTGTATACATAAAATACTAGAACATTCTGAAATACTAAGGTGGGAGAGAGTCTAGGAAAGGACCATTTCCTAAGAGAGCTGCAAGTAAAAAAGTGCTCCCAGAGAACATGGGGAATAGAGGAAGTGTGTGGTTGAGCTGGCAAAGATGTGAAATTTCACCGGACTCAGGAAGGCCTAATTCTACAGATGGTTGAGAACCGATGCCCACTTGATCCTCCTTTAAGCCAGAACCCTAAACACCAGTGCTTAGCACAGTATAGTACATATAGTAGGCACTTAATAAATGCTTATTGCCTAACTGACTAACTCTAATTGCAAGAAAACTTTGAAATGGAACAATGCATATTATCTCAGAGTTAGAAGGACTGTGAGAACAACTAACCCAAAAGGTCATCCAGGCTCAGAGGCAGCCATTTGTCTGGCATATATTAAAGGGGCTCCTGGCTGGCAATAGATCTGAGGTTCCTTCCAACTCTGAGAGTATATGATGGTGATACATTCTTCAACAAATACTCTCTCCCTTTTCATTCCACAACTTCCTAAAACACAGGACCCTCTCCTGCTTCTTTGCCTTCTTTCCTCTGCTCACACAGTGTCTTCTCTCTCCATTTTTAGAGGGCGAACTCATATTTAAATTCCCACTCCAGTATCCTTTCCTCAGTCCCTCTGTCTAAGTAGTGACCTTCCCCTGGTCACGGATATTACCAAGTCCTTTCATTTGTCCTTCTCATGTGACCTTGTGCACTGTAGCAACCTGGACATCTAGCTTCCCCACCCCAGC